GTAGTTTTATCTTATTGTTGATAAAACTTATTTAAACAAGAATGTTAATATAATGTTTATGTTTTGTTCTTTTAAAAATGTTACTTTTTTTTAATGGTTTTTTGTTCAAAGTTGATTAAAAAACTGAGTTTGAATCATACTCAGCTCAAAAACTGATATTTAATAAATAATAAACCGTTTTAAAAAAAGAAATGTATTAAAAAAGTATGTTTTTGTTAAAAAAATAAAAAATTTTAAACTGCATTTAGTTTATACTTTTTTATTCGTTTTGCTTTTTTATACGTTTTTATTCAGTAAACATTTTTTTTTTAAACATATGTACTAATTGATTTTAAAAAGAAATAAAAACAAAAAAAATGATTGAACTATATAATTGATTTTAATAACATTTAGCTATTATTATTTAATACTTAACTAATTTTTATTTTAAGTTATTTTAAGTTTGATTTGATAAAAAAAAAAATATATAAATAAAAACATAAAAATAAAAATATATTTTGTATTTAAAATTAAATTAATCATAACTTTTTTCTTAGTAAATAAAATAATGTTGCATAATACAAGTTTTATACCATTTTATAGATATTATTAAGGTTTTTGCATTATTTATTGATCTTTTAATTTTTAGCAACAAATGCTGCATTGATAAGCTTGATAATAATTATTTGTTGTTTAAAGAAATTTAATTTTTTTAAATTAAACCTTATTCTACCATGCTATCAATCTCATTTTACTTTTCTGAAAAAAAAAAATGCTCTATTTTAGTATAATATCCTTTTAGTATCCATTTTTTTACTTTATTTAAAAATTTATTTGGAACTCATTTGAACCTGCTGCTCTTTATTGCAATCAGTGAAGATTTTTTCTTTCACTACTGAATATTTTGAAATAAACTTTTAGTGCAAATCCAACTTTTATCATTTTTTATGTTTTCATCATTATCATTCATTCTGGCACAGTGATTGTTGAAATCAGTACAACTTCAAAAAACCTAGAACTATAGAGACCTATTTAACTATAGAAAGTTAAAGCCATTAAAAGCCGTGGAAACAATAGAAAGATTTTTTAAGAACTGATTGGCAATGTGCTAATTAGTGATTTTAAAATTATATGTGTTTTTAAATTTTTTTTCGTATATTTTACCACCTGTAGTCATTAAACAAATACAATGACAAAATAAAGTTAATAAAGGTCTAAAACACTTAGGCTAGTTCTAGATTTAAAAGCAAATTAATTACAAACTAATTACTTATTAGTTTTATACTTTTAACATTATATTTTTTCAGCATGTATCCATTAAATTTGAAAATAATAATAATAAAAAAAAATAAATAACATAAAAAAAAAAAAAAAATAACCCTTTGTTCATACAAATAACCCTTAATAACATTGTTAATACAAATAATACAAAAACCCTTAATAACATTGTTAATACAAATAACCCTTTGTTCATAATTTAATAAAAATTTCAGCTTATTTTTTATGTCAAAAATAATCCCAAATCATCAAATTTTGAAAAAAATCTTGAAAAAGGTTCAAAATTTAGTATGATTTTTAACATAGAACACTAATGTTCTTGTATTTAGTTAAGTAAATTTTAAAACTAAAATACTTTTATTTTAAATATCGACCAAACTAAAATTATCTACACAATTTCTAATTTATGTGTAATAGGTATATGAAAGATTTAACTTCCCAAAACCGGCTACATGTTATCTTATTTATGAAAAGTCATGGCTGGTGATAGTTTAAAAGCCGTTGTGCTCATTTTTTAAGCACAATCATACTTTACAACTTCTTAATAAAAAAAGAAAGTTTTTGTTTTTAGTACATAAGAAAAAATGCCTCTGTGCTTTCTAAAATTTTAGCAAAGTGGTTGAACTGTATTGATTTACTGACCTTTTAAAATTAAAGACTCATAAAATAAGAATTACGATTATATTTTAAATGCTTATTTTACAAAATTTTCAAACTTTCACTTGATAACGCTACTCCTTTTAAGTGATAAAATTTGCTATGTTAAGTTAATTGCAACAGACGTTTTAAATTTAAACAGTGTCAGCTTTTTTGAAAAGGTGGCATTAAGCACCAAAAATTAGTTTACACAGCTGACATGAAAAATGATGCGAATATAAAAGTAAAATTTTGACTTTCTGCCCGGCTTATAATATTACTTTTTTAACATAGTTGATCCACCTCTCTCATTCTATATATGTAAAATCAAATAAGTTTAGTTAGATTACATCAGATTTATCTTTAGAATCTTTTTTTCTTCTCTTAATCAGCTAAGAGCCTATATTTTACTAACAATTGTTGCCACAACAAACAAAAGATATAAATATCGTACGTTTATAGATATCACAAATGAGTTTTTATTTTTTATTTATACAGAATTAAACTATAGTAGGCACCTTACTGAATACTAGTAAAGAAAATTGTGAAATCTATATGTTTGTATGTGCATATAAAATGCAGGCTTACCTGTAGTCTATACAACAACATTCTTAGCAAATAAGTATTGGTTTTAATCTCTCTTCTTTTTCTTGTGTGCTTAGAGAATAAATAAACCTAACAACAAATATAAATTGTTTATAGCATATATATTCAGTAATTATATAAACTAACAAAAAGCGACCCGTAATACGGGTTGTAGTCAGTCTGTTACATAAAGAATTTATAGTGGCTGTTTTCCACAATTTAATGTTGCAAAACCTTAACTAATACACGTTTAAAAAAACGCCTTCAAATTGAAAAAACTGATCCATCTGTAAAATTAACATAAAAAGTATGAGGTAAAATAATTTACCAGTTATTACTTAACATTATTTGAGTTACTGACGTAAGTCATAACAGTTTATGGCAGAAATATTTTCCTCGACATTCCTAAGTTCAACGCAATACGTTTTTAGTTACTGACACGAAATAATAACACTTCATCATGCTTTAAATTGATGAAAATATCCACTAAATCCTTGTAGTAATTTTTATAACATAAACTTTAACTAATTATTAAGATTAAGTTAACTTATATTATACAGGAGTTATCAATCTTTTGGTATCCCCTTGATTAATTTTTCTTTAGAAAAGAAAATTGTTATCTTAAAAACATTAAATGCACACAACTAAATTAATTTATTAAAAATAACTATGTTTATTATAAATAACTAAACAACTGAATACAAATACGTTTCAAACAAAAAAAATTTAATTTACAATCAAACATGCGTATAACAAATTTTAAAAATGTGTAAACTTTGATCTTTTATGTTGCATTAATGCGTCAAATGTCAAACCTAAATTAAAAACTGTAACAGATAAGTAGACATAAAAGAAAAGAAAAAAAATAACTGGAAAACAATTTACCTGCTTTCGGTAAACTGTTGTGATTTTGTGATTGCATCATGACAACAACTAAACTGAGTTCAGTTGTTGTCATGATGCAGCAGTTCTTGTTTAATGACGTTATTTTATGTTGGCTTTTAGCAAACTTTAGTTTAATTTATAAGACATCACAATAGATTTAAAATATTTCAATGAAAAAGCAAAATATAAAATACTTTAAGTAGCCAAACTATAAACATTAAAAATAAAAAAGTCAAATTAATGAATAAAAAATTGCATTTATATAGCTAAATAAATATCTTGGCTAATAATAAATTTTTACAGCAGTGAGTTTAATAAATGAAACTACTAATTAATTATTTTTAATGAAAGCATGTTGCATTATTATATTATAATAATTGGATAATGAACCAGTTTAACTATATTTAAGTTTAATTGGTGAAAAATTTATTATAATTTTAATTAAAAAAGACCAAAACAAATCTAATATACAACATAATATATTATTAAAAAAAAATTACACATTAAAAAAAAAATTACAAAATTATAAAAAAAAAAAATCACCGAAGAAAAAGCGGCAACAAAAAGTTATAAATATTTTCACTGATAGAAGTTATTTACAATTTTTTGGTAGCCACTACCGACTGGTACACCCATAAAACACATTCTGAAATGTTGATTCTCTACACTTGGTTACTCGTTCAATGCAGCTTGGACAGCATTACTTGCATTTAATTGATTGACATTGAGAAGCAGTCTCATTCTATTAGCTTCGTCAATTAATTGCTAAACATTATCATTTAAATTTTCTAGATTAAAATCTATGAATTCATCAACAGGCAAATTATAATCTGATAGTGTTTTACCACTTTGATTAATAACCGTTTCGATTTGACGAAGAGTAGCTTGTTCAGCTAATATATATGGGACTTATGGTGATGAATGAAATTCTCCATCATCTTTGTATGTATTCCAAAGATGCAAAGGGTTGTTAAGTTCACAAAAGGTTAAAATAATTGAAAACAGCTGTCTAATTTAGGCATTCGCGTTAAAACTGCCTCAGAAAGAGTATTCTGCAATTCAGTGTCATCATGCAACAAATCTTTTAAAACACATGCTTCACAAAATGTTTCAAGAACAATTCCATTAACAGTACGCAAATCCTCCCAAGATATTGCTATTTTTTGCTGCACACACCATCTTTTATGTAGGGAGAATTAGGAATCAGTATCCCACATGGGCCGTGAATCATGCAAGTTTTAATAATATCATAAATTTCAGGATTACCAATCGGATCTGGAATTTCTACACATATTAAATTATTGATATCCTGTTCGGTTTAAAGATTATCATCATTGTCAAAATGAAGTAAAATATGGGCATGCGGCAAACCACGCTTTTGAAACTCAATAACCTGAACATGCGTTACAACTTTTCCTAAACACCATGTTTGAATATATCATTGACGAGGCTATTTAAATTGATTTTAAATACTCGAGTAACCAAATCAGATCTATCAGTCTCAGTCTGACCCGGATATAAATTTTCTATTATTTCACGCCATTTTGGATTGCAAGTAAAATTAATAAAAAGATCTGGTTTACCATACTTTTCAATAATTGCCATAGCATCTTCAAAGTTTTTATTTTAAGCTCTAGGACTTCTTACATAAGATGATGGCAAAGCAACTACTCGCCCTGGTCTAACATTACGTTCGTTCGCAATCTTGTTAACATGTTCATGTAAGGCATCATACTGCTCGCTTCTCAGTTTATTTTGATTACTTCTGATAAAAGCAAGACGCTGGTCTTCAATTTTGACATATGCATCTACAGTGTATTGCTGAAAAAGTTTCTTTCCATAAAATAATGAACAGAAAAATTCCCAACAGAAAGTCTATAATTGTAGAACTGAGATAGCGTTACATGATTTCTAACCAGTGTGACACGCTCAGGGTCATGCACTAACTGATGATGCCAACCAGCATCACCTCTTGGAAAAAAGAAAGGAAAAATCATAGGATCTAAGTTGGCTAACATACTTGATACAATTTTTAAAGGCTGACCTCTTGGGTAAAAAACAACTTCCCTGGAAGTTGGGGGAGCACCATCTTCGCCAATAAATACAACTGCAACTTCATCGTGTGAAGGTAGATTATAGCAACGTCTATCACCCCCTTCAAGTAAATACATTTTTACAACAGAAGCAAGGCAACCTCTTATAGTTGCTGACAAATTTCTTTATCTTCTATTTCAGCCATGTTTTTAAATGCAAGAGCAAATGGACTTTGTTCAGTAATTATAGTTTACAATTGAAACATTAAATTACGTAAACAAAGATCATTACCACGTTGTTGCATTCTAAAAATTACGGCTGCAAGTTGATCATATATATATATAGTTGAGAATATATTAGTTATTATCTTGATCTGGTCTAAATTTACCAACACGATGATAAATCTGGCCACATATTTTAAAACATGGAGGCCCATGATTTGTTGGTTGAACACATTTGCTTTAAAAGAAACGAAAAAAAGACATGCATTATAATTTCGAATATGTTTTCAAAAATTACCATTAGCGTTACAATCTACATAACTCCTGTAAGTAAATCCTGTAAATCTTGAGTAATTGGTAAAAGTGGAGTTAAAGCTACCTTACCATTATAACAACATAGAAAATGTGTTTCACCTGGAAATTTCTTAGCACAACAGTGCTGACAAACTTGATTCACTTCTCATAAACAATTACAATCTGGAATAGCATTACCTCTTGCTATAGAATACATTCTTCCTGGTCTAGCAGCATTTCTAGCATTTTGGCAAAGATTAATTTTATTTCTCCTACCTCTATCTCTATTATTTCTGCGTTGATTATTTTCAATTTGCATAACTGCATTGTCCACATTTGGGTTCAAATTATTTTCTGCTCGTCGAGCAGCATTTCTAACATTTTGTAGTTGATTAATTTCATCTCGTCTAGCTCTATCTCGAGCATTCCTGAGACAATCATTTTAAACTCGCCTAACCACCCTTTCAATGTTTGGGTTCAAGTTGTATACCAGCTCTTCTTACATTTTGTTGACGAATAATTTCATCTCGCCTAAGTCTGTTTCTTTCATTTTTGCGATGATTATTTTCAACACGCCTTATAGCATTAACATTATTTTGTAAATGCAAAACATCATCTAGCCTATCACCCATTTTAATGTCATTGCTTTCATTAAATATATTTATTAAAAAGAAGAAAAATTGGTTCAAATTCTTATCTCTTTTTGTACAACTCTAAATTGCACAATAGAATAAAAAAACTTAATAAAACTAAAATTTTAAAAATAAATCTTCCTTACAAAATTAAAAGAAAAATTAACAAAACTAATATAAACATTTTCCTTTCTAGTAGCTAAAACAATATATCTATAGAGATCAAATAAAAAACATATTAATAAAGAGATCAAATAAATAATAAAATCAATAAAGAGATATAATAATCAGGAACTAAATATATACAGCTTATTAAAGATATACAATATCAGTCCCAAATTGTCAAAGAGTTAAACAGTTAAAATAATTTCTATAACAATAAATACTTAATACACTTGTTTCACTTATGCTATTTATTTTTAATTAAGGGCATTTTTTATTACTTTATATTTATAATAACTTTAAAAGTAATTTTTTTATGTTATTTTCCTTAACTTTTAACCTTACCTTAGTTTTTTGGGCACAATGGAGCGATTGGTCACATTGCAACAGTTCTAATGGATATTCAAACAGAACTAGAGAGTGTATTGATTTAGAATGGTGTTATGTTAACCAATCTGAATTATTGGAATATTCAGGTAAGAATTTGTAGGAAACTTTTGTTTAGTATTTTTTATATTGATTTTAAAATTATGTTTTTTTGTCAACAAAACATAAAACAATTTTATTGCCGTTTAATGATTTCTTTTTTTTTTAACTTTGAGTTCATGAGATTGAAATAATATAGTGTTGTATATATGGATATTCTTGATCTGATTTCAGTTTAATATATAATTACATCAACAAGAAAATACTTTAAAATAGAAACTAACTAAAGTAAAAAAATATTTTTAAGTTCGTGCATTAACTTGAAGAATAATGTTATTTAGAGTTTGATTCCCTTAATTTTTCGATTACTGTTATATTATATTATACTTTAATTGCACGCTATACATTTCTGTTCTAAAATTGAAACTATTTCAAACATAAAAAATTGTATAAAACAAATTTCTTCTGAGACATTTTTTTGAAAAAAATGGTGAGGGTGTTAGGAATATATGGAAAAAATTATTTGGGCTTTAAACATTAGGCATACTAAACTAAGATAAAGTTTGTTAGTGTAAAGTATTGTTTGCTACTGTTTGTGCATGTTAGATATTAAAAATAGGATAGTATTTTGTTCAAAAAAAATTTAAAGATTTATATGTTAAAATATCAGTAATCTGAACAGGTTGAAAAAGTTTTTTAGCGATAATCCAGTAAAATCAGATTTACTTTTTTGAGATGTTCCAAGGACATAATTTTTACTAATTTTTACATATTTAAATGATTTTATGTTCACTTAATCAAACAACTTGGCCATGACATTGCAAATGGAGGAAGTATTTTTTTAAAGACGAAATGCTAAAAAATAGATAAAAGAGGAAAATAAAAATAAAAAAATATTGTTTAAAATAGATAATTTAAAAAAAAATATATTAAAAACGATGAAAACATTAAAGAATATAAAGCAACAGCAATAACACGCTATTTACTTTCCGTAACTCAGTTTTACAATAGTTTTGATAGAAAAATAATACCAATAACAATTATAACAATAAAAATATATTACTAGCAGTAAGCAACCCGTAATGGGGATTATTAGTAACTAAGTCATTAATAACAATAAAAAGCATATTATTAACTTGATATATTATTCAAAAAATAAAATTTATCTCTAAATAATATTTTAAGTTTGACTTCCAAACAGCAATGTTATTACTTATAGTTAACCACACAAAAAGAATGCCTTAACATGAGTTAAGTTCTCCTTAAAATGTTACAACACAGCAGGTAATGAAAAGGAAAGTCAAGTAAAACCTGCAATATCTAAAAAAAGAAAAAAAAAAGTTACAATATTCAATAACAAAAGTATTGTTTGCATTTTGTTAGTATAATTAAAATAATATAACACAATAACATTAGTGCATAGCGACTATATTATTGTCTCCAGAATAATTAAAAAAAATAAAGATTATAAATAGGGTAGACAACACAACAAAATAACACTGGCAAATAACAGCACAACTTAATAAGATATTTTATAAACTAAATTACTTGAAACTAAAAAGAATTTATTTATTACAATATTTGAACAACCAAGCGACAATTATTATTAAAAAAATTACAGAATTGTATCTTTAAATAGCAAGCAACTCGCAATATATATCTTATAAATGGTCATTATCAATTGTAGTATTAAAAAATACACAAGAGCTCTTAACTTCATGAGTTTTATCAATTTTTCCTGTTCTAATTCTTATTTAAGTCTTAACTAAGAGAGAAAGTGAGGAAGTGTTTCAGAAGCAGCATGTTAAAAAAAGTAAAAAAAAAAACACGCAATAAATAACAGTAACTCGTTTTATTATGATACCAATAGACAAAAATATTTTTACCTTAACTAAAAGTTAATGTCCAGCATTTCTTATTAAAGTTCAAGTTGCTCTCTAACTGTTGACTAATTATCAATATAGTAAATTTTACATCATATTAAGTTTACAGAATCAAAACCATGTTTCAATAGTAAGCAAAATAATCAAGTCATTAAAAAGGCAACTAAAGTTAAAAGGAAACAATTATATTTCAGATTACAAAAGAAATTAAAATTATTTAAATTTGAAACTTTTGATAATTGTTACTAAAAATAGTAAAACTCATACTTTGTAAAATCAAATTATTAGACATTTACACCGTTAATGTCTAACAAATTAACAAGTTGCTTATTACCATTAACACTAATAACTTCTTCGAGCCTAATGTTATACATCTGTTATCATTAAACATATTACCAGTGATTAAACTACTGTTACAACTTAATAAATAAATGAAAAATAAATTTACGAATAATTTTACGTTCGTTGACCTTTTCTAATCAAAGACTATATTTCAAATTAAAATTTATTGATTTCAATATATTTTTATAAGTTTATATATAGAAGTTGTTTGACAAAAAAATAAAACAAAATTTATTTATATTATTTTTAATTTAACAAACAATTTTGACCACAATGCAAAAAGTTATATTTACCTTCACAATCTTAATGCACAAAAATAATAAATGCAGAATCTTGTATAAAAAATAAAGCAATGTCAGTCTAAAGTAGTATATTTATGTATATATGTATACTTATATTACCATTTTCTCTATTCTTTTTTACTTTTTTTTTTAAGATAATATTTATATGGATACAGAGAAATATAAAATATACTGAAATATAGACACATTTATGTATATAACTTTACCTGCCAATAAATTACAGTCAGTTTTCCATGTTAAATACATAAAATAAAAATCTTATATAAAATAAATCCAATATTGAATAAACCAAAATTTTAAACTTAGTCAAATTAGTAACAGTTCGATTGTTTTAAAATTGTTATTATTAATAACCTTTCTATTTAAAAACGCAAACAATTGATTTGAAGTGACTAAAAAGTACATTAGCTCTTTTCAAATACATTAAATAATAAAATAACTCTTGCTTCGCTAAGTTGCCTAGGTCTTAAGAATCTGAAAACAAATAAGTAAAAAATCAAGAGTAAACAAACATTTATTTATTAAAATTACTCTACTTAAACAAATGGATTTAAACAGAGTAGTATATATAAAAACTAAATATTAAATACTTATTGTCAAATACACAGTAGAAAAATTTTAAATATACATGTTTATGGGTTTCTGTAAAGTAGTGGAAATTGTGTTGCAAAAATAAATTTTTTTAATTTTTTTATAAATATTTTTTAATTGGGGTTGAACTTTTTTCATATATAGTAAAAATGCTTGTTATTTTTTTATTTTTGAACAAGAACTCCACTAAATTTAGTTTGGGGATATAGGGTTGCAAAATTGTTATATCCCTTATATATATATATATATATATATATATATATATATATATATATATATATATATATATATATATATATATATATATATATATATATATATATATATATATATATATATATATATATATATATATATATATATATATATATATATATATATAATGTGTATAGTAACAAAGTTATTTTTATCATTTGTTGATTATAAATATTTATTTTAGAGTATTTCATAATTGAAAAAGAGACTTTGTTGTCAAAAGGAAACCTGATTACAAAGATAAAAAAACTTAGTAAAGAATACTCAGTGTCTTTTGAAATTAATCTAACATCTATAAATGATCAATTCAGAAATATTATTCATATGACTGTTGAAACGGACATGTCAAATTATGGAGATAGAATTCCGGGAGTGTGGACTTATCCTGGCAAGTCTAGTTTACACATTTGTGCAGCTGTTAACAATAATACTAATTATTGTTTACATGAAACATCTAGTCTGAATCTGAGCTCATGGTCTTCATTAAAAATATCACAAGAGTTGTTGGAAGGAAAATACTTTTACTCAATTCAATTAAATAAAGAAAAAATATTTATTGTTGTAAACGAAGTTCCTCAAGAATTTTCAAATGTAAAAGTATATATATCTGATCCTTGGTATGATGTACAACCTGGATATATCAGAAATGTGAAAATAACTAACGGAAGTCCAGGTAAAGTAAAGTAAAAAGTTAAATTTAATATTAAACTTTACCATTTCTCCTTTATTGTTTATAACTTTGAATATTATAGTGTGTTTGAAGTTTTAAAGGAATTTCTGCCTTATTGGTGATTTGTCCAGTAGTTTGCTTGCTCCAAAAAAACCGATCAGGATTGTTGTACCAAGGCCCTGCGCAATTTGACTATATAAATGTTTGAAGGTCTTTATATATAACTTACAAAAAAAACCCCACCCAAATAAATAAACATGTAAAACCATGTGTTGTGGTTCTTATTTTTTAAAATAAAAATTGCACTTCTGCACTTCAGCAAACACATTTTACGTTTGAGTTTTTTTAACTTTTCCCTAAACTTATGGTCATCAAACACAATTTGTATTTTATTGTTTGAGAAACATAGCATTTAACACAAATTTTCGATCTCAGTTTAACAATTTGTACAAAGTGTTTTTAATTATGTTATATAAACAAAGTTATTTAACATAGTTAAAAATTAAGAAAAATAGAAAAATAATTGCGCACATTTATTACGATAGTTGACATACTTTAAAAAATAAAAGTTTATTATAAAGTTTTCACCTGCAAATAATTTTCACTGTTTAACCATACTTTGAAATACAAATAAAAGACGCTATTAAATTTTTCAAACAATAAAAAGGTGTGCTATTAATAAACTTTTATAGATGTGTCCACTTAAACTTAACTACTTTTAAAGGAGATATAATACCAATAATGAGAGCAGGTATATAAAGTAATTTTTATTTTTAGAATTTGAAAAAACTAAACTATATTCCTCATATCAAAAATTGCAGTTTGTGGTTGAAAGTTATGTCATTCCTTATAGAAAAACTAAAACAAAAATGGAGTAGGAATAGTTACATATGTTAAACAAGACCTACATAAAAGTATACTTCCTAATTTTAGTTTAAAGAAGACTTTGAAGGCTTTTATTTTGAAGTCAGTTTAAGGCAATCAAAATGGTTAGTATTAGCAACATATTTCATCCTCCAAGCCAAGATGATAGTTATTATTTACTAAACACGGGTCTTTCTATTGATTTTTATTCACTAAAATACGATGATTTTATTATTGTTGGTGGTTTTAATATGCAATACTCAGAAAAATGTTAATAAGAATTTTTGAAGGATTACAATGCAAATTACATTGTTAATGTAAACGTTTGTTTCAAAAATATAAATTATCCAAGCTGTAGACTTGATCATTACGAACAGCCTAACTTTTTTTTATAGTACTAGAGCATTTTCTCTTGGCTTATCGGATTTTCATAAATTTATTGTAAGAGTTATAAAATGTTCATTCACACCAAAAAAAAAAAAAAAAATGATATATAAAGATTATAAAAAATTCGATAATTTCCTTTTTGAACAAGAACTCGAAAATGTGTTAAAATGCAACCAGTATTTAAGCTATAAAAATTTTGAACAATCATCTTTTTTAAATTATAAACATGCATGCTCCGATAAAATCAGAAATGATTCTTGCAACTTTGAAAAACAATTATGAAACAATTTGAGTTGGAAACAAAGTATCACAAAACTAAGCAAGATATTGTTAAGTTATTATTCATAAAACATAAACATTTTTGTAATAAGTTGTGTACAAAATAGCGAAAACTGTTCTTTATTAATATTAAAGTAAACAACCTTACTGATAACAAAATATTCTAGAAAACTATAAAACCATTTCTTTTTTCTAAATCAACAAAATTTTAAAAAATTATTTAATAAAAGCGTAAATATTAAACCTAAAGAATCTGATACTAATCTTATAACCATTGAAGATATAAGAGCAAAGTATAAATATCACCAAAGTGTTCTTCTGATAAAACATAATTGCATAATCAATAACCCCTTTATGAATTTTTTAAAAAAGAATGAAGTTAACAAACTCAATCCAAGAAAAAGTAATACTCTAGATGGAATTCCTTAGACAATGAAGCTTAGTGAAGGTTGATGTCTAAAAAGAATTTTTAAACATATAGAATTATGATGTGGTAATAAACAACATTTATTCAAACGGATTTTAAAAAGCATCTTTAACGCCGAATTTTTAAGACAAATGATTCATTGCTATACGAGAACTATATACCTAACATTGTTTTACTCTGTATTTCAAAGATGCTTTAAAGGTTATTACTATCTCAAATTCATATCAATTTGTTTATCTCCTTCCCTTTTGGTTATCGAAAAGATTTTAGCACACAAAATACTTTTATTACACTACTTGAAAAGTGGAAAATTTCCCTTGTTAATAAAGGTTTTGCTGACTTATCTGCGGGTTTTGTTTCATTAAATCATGAGTGAATGTTTTGAAATTGAAACATTTTAACCAAAAGTTTTATTAAAAGCTATTCAGATAATCGACACCAAAGAAGAAAAGCAAACACATTTTATTGCTCTTATTCAAAAGTAGTACGAGGTGTCACGCAAGATGCGGTGTTAGGACGCCATCTTTTTAATATATTATTTTTGACACTATCTTTTTAATATATATTAGTGAATGTTCTTTCTAATGAAAAACTGCTGAGTTTGTAAATTTGCAGATTACACTACTTTTTATATAATAGATATAGGCGTTTCAATTTTGACGTTCAATTCAATAAACTTAAAAATAATACTAAGCTGATTGTAAATTTAATCCTAAAAAATGTTATCTAATAAAAACTGTTGAAAACTTAATCCTAAAAAAAATTATCTAATCGTTGCAGGACATAAACATGAAACAACCTGGGCACATATTGATTGTTATCAAATTTGGGAAGAAAATGGTGTCAAACTACATAGAATAACGATAAACAACAAATAAAATATTAATAAAAATCTTACTCAAGTCTGTCACAAAGCAAATCAAAAACTTAGCATTCTTAAAAGAGAATCTAAGAATCTCGATCATCAGAAAAAGAAAATAGTATTAAACGTCTTCTTTAAATCACAACTCATGTACTACACTCTTGTGTGGGTGTAATTTGTTAAAGTAACAAATGCAAAAGATAATATGTTGCATGTAAAGGCTCTTCAATTGATTTAAAATGATTACGAATTGACATTTGAAAAACTTAAAAAAAAAGATGAATCTTTTTTAGTACATCAAAGTTCAATTATATAACTATTTAAATGAATTGTATATATATATATATATATATATATATATATATATATATATATATATATATATATATATATATATATATATATATATATATATATATATATATATATATATTTATATATATATATTTACGGGTACATTTTTTTATTTTTCCCCATTAATCGCAATTTTTATTTCTCTATTTTTACTATATTTTTTATATATGTTTTTTTTTTATAATTTTTAATTTATGCCAATTTTTATTTATTTATTTTTATCTTTATTAATTTCTTCAAAAAATTTATTTTTTCAAATATTTTTATTTTTTTATTTAATTATTATCTATTATATTTTATATATTTATGTATATATTTACAAAAACAATTATTTACATTAAGGTGATCATATACTGAAAAAAATCAAAAAGATCGAATTTTCAAAAACCGCATATTCTTGAAGCCCAAACATTCGACATTCTAAATATATATAGATCATCATAGTGAGTAAATTTAAAAATGCTCTAAAATAGCAAGTTTCGTAGTGAAAATAAATAATTTTCTTAGCAACAGCCTTAGCAACGGGTTGTTTTTATTAAAAATTAGGTGTTTTAGAGTGTTGCGCCATTTACTATAAGTTTTTGACATTGGTGACAGTAACTGTTTCATGTTTATTTTTCTAAATAAGCCATGACCTTTAAGTACAATTACTATATTTACATATATTACTTATAGAAAAACTATCAGCCTCGTGTTATACTTTATTTGCTTTGTGCTTGTTTTTAATATGGAAAAAATTAAACGTGATTCAAAATTGAGAAGGAAAGCAGGCGGTAACAGGATTTTCAAAAAAAAAAAAACTTTAAAGGAAATCAATTTTCCTCAGCATCAACAATTAGCATTAATTTAATTTCTTAATCGGAAATCACTAACTTAACTCAATTAAAAATCTTGACATCAACGTTTTTAAAAAATTTATCACATAGCAGTAAAAAAAGTAATGCAAAAATTAATGATTCAATTAATTTGCTTTCATACTTTATAGTTATTGACATAGACATTTTAAAATCAATTGTTACTTTAATTGGACATTGTCCTTAATGCCATAACAATTCAATTAAAATCTCAACTGATTTATCAAAAAAGAAAGGCTTGGCAGTGTTTTTAAATATTTCTTGTGCAACACCTTCATGCGATTGGAATCAGTCTTTTTATTCTAGCATAGAGATTGAAAAGGAAAGTCCAGGAATGTCACTATTTGAAATAAATTGTAGATTTGTTGTTGCAATGAGAGAGATAAAAAAAAGTCATTCTGGTTTGGAAAAATTTTGTGGTTTAATGAACTTAACTCCTCCAATGAACATAAAAGCATCTAATGATGTTCAAGATAAAATTCATATCATATATTAAATTGTAGCTGATGTGAAAATGAATAATGCAGTAAATGAATTTTGATTTCTTAACAACGATATCCAACCAAATGGTTTTGATATTAATGTAATAGCTGATGTTGTTGTTTCCTGTAATGGAACTTGGCAAAAAAGGAGTCATTCCTCACTTAATGGTGTTGTTACTGTTATTGCTAGTGACTCAGTGAAATGTGTTGACTATCAAGTTCTTTCAAAAATATGCAAAAAATTTATGAAAATTTTTTGGAAACCCATGATTGTTTAAATAATCACGAAGTTTCTGTTGGATCTATGGAAGTTTCTGGAATTGTAGATTGTTTTATGAAATCTATAGTCAAAAGGTATATTAAACATATTTGAATATTTAAATGTTACACCAGGTACATTTGCCTCAGTACTGAACCAAAATAGACCAAGAAAGAATAAAGATGATGGAAAAAAAGTTGCTTAACACAATAAAACAAAAGAGAAAGCTGCTTCGTGCAGAGCGAAAAGGTTTTACAGATATAGTAAATGAAAGTGAAGGTGTATCTTATGAAGCAGGAGTTTTTTAGATATTAGTTTTTTGTTACTTTTTTAATTAAATTTATTTTAAGGCAGTTATTGTACTTATTAACGAAGTTATTGTTTATTATCTTTTTATATTCAAGCTTTTTTTCATTGATTGAATAATTTTGGTAAATTTTTTTCAATTATTAGAGTTTTCATATTTTTCTTTTTTCTGTGTTTTTAGTAATGCTCAAGTCGTTTTGTTTTCAATAATTTTTTGACCTTTTTTATATTAAAATTTTTTTTTTATATTAAAAATCTTTATTATTGTTTTTCTCAATATATGAGTTTTTTGCACGCTGCGATAAATATCTTGAGATTGGTTTGTTTGATTGTGTTGAAATTTTCAGGAGTTGTTTATTATATATATGCACATTCACATTACCAAAATAATTAATGTTAGTGAACTAATTCTAAAAATAAGGTCTAGGTTCTAAGCATTTTTGGGGCTTTTTTTAGGCCTTTAACTGGTTTTCTTACAAAAGCTTCAATAGTTTGTTAAATTGTTTGATCTTTGCAGGGTGAGTGTAATCATCTGATATTAAAAAGCTGTGAAAAATTTATGATCATACCATTATTAGTTTACAGGCTGTTTATCGCAGCGCGTAGTCCATATTAAGGGTCCAATTAAAACCAAAAATTAAGGGTCCAATTTAAACCAAAAAAAAATTTTTTTATTTTATTTTTCTTTACTGTGCTTTAAATTTAAAATACTATTTCTTATATGAAAATCATAAAATATGAATGAATTTTTAAAATTTTGGTTTTATTAGTATAGGACCATCTTAATATAACTAACCCTAACTCTAACCCTAAGCCTGACCTTGCTGCCTGGCCAAACCAAAACCTCAGCCGATGTACCAGCACTCCCTTGCGAGTCAGGCTATTTGTCAGTCGATGTATGTACTTTTCGGTTTGCATAGAAACTATTTACGGGACATTTTTTTTACAAAAAAAAAACGCTACTTACGAGGACAAAAGATTATCGAGTACACTAAAATGTCCCCGTTACTGCTATTGTCTTCGTAAGTACCCATTTTAATGTAAAATCTGTTCCCGAAAGTAATACTATATGGATAAATATATTTAAATTATTTTGTTAGAACCAATCGACAGATGTAGATAGATACTTTATCACTATTATTCATAACCGTCTTTTGTTTTCAAAACATTCCTATTTTAAAACACTTTATATTATATTATTTATAGCCTTTGAAACTGAATGAAAAATGAAACAATATATTTAATATATATTGTTATATTCATTTTTTTTTTATTCCTTTAATTTAGTTTTCATTTAGCATTACTGGCAAAAGTCAATATTAATTCTACTTGTTCTACTTTTTATGGAATTATGAATAAATCAAGCAATTGTAAGAAGAAATGTGATGGACATAATTTTGAGTTAACTAATTGCATAAGTAAGGCAAAATTTTTTTAATTGTTATTTACAAAAGTTTTTTCAGCTTTGATTTTTTTAAAAAAAAATTAAATTTTTCTTTATAGAAATAATATTAATTTATAATCAAGGTAATGACCTAGGTATAAATTTGCTGAAGTTAAAATAAGTTAAATCCTATATATATATATATACTAATGTGTATTGTCATGTTTTTTTTACCACTTAGCCACTCCAGTTAAACTCTTTAATTAACAATTTATTAAAACGATATAGGCAACGTGATTTTATCTCAACTTCATTTGTAAATTTTTTTCTAATTAGTTTTTAATACAGTCCTCTCCAATAACATTGTTCCTGGCTAAAATTTTCCTAACCTATTAAATTAAAACTCTAAACTCTTTTTTCTTGTCTTTTAAATCCAGAATTTTACTAATTAGTTTTTGCTTGGTCAATTGAGATTTGATTTATTGTATTTTTTTTATTAGACTTTTCCGTATGTAAAAAAAAAATATTTTCGTTGCCATTTATACTGACTTCTGCATTTTACTGCAATAGCTTGTTAAAAAATTTTTGTTTCTTTAAAAAATTCATCTAACACTTCTGACTCAAAATTTACTTTTTCATATTAACTTTTTTTTGGAAACCATGTAGTACAGAATCTCAATCCCATACCAGGAAGTTCTACGAACATATATATATATATATATATATATATATATATATATATATATATATATATATATATATATATATATATATATATATATATATATATATATATATATATATATATATATATATATATATATATATATATATATATATATATATATATATATATGTATGTATATATATATATATATATATATATATATATATATATATATATATATATGTATACATATATATATATATATATATATATATATATATATATATATATATATATATATATATATATATATATATATATATATATATATATATATATATATATATATATATATATATATACATATACAATCATAAAAAATTCAGGTACATTAAAAAAATTGATTTTTAAACAGTTAACTTTTTATGGATTAATCAAATAAATCAAATAATTCTTACCTACGCTAAAAAAATTTGCATATTGTTTTCTTATGGCGTAATTTAACGGAATTAAAAAGTATATATTTTAGGCAAAATAGATTATTAAATATTTTTTATTTAATAATCTATTTTGACAAAATTAAATTTTATTTATATAGATAAAAATAAACAAAATTTCATTAATTTAAGCAAAAATAAATAAATTTTAAATTTATAATTTAGATATTTTCAGGTGTAGTTATCCTAATTATTATTTTAATATTTCATATATCTTAGATTCAATTCGGTTGATTTTAACTTTCAGCGCTTCTTTTGTTACATATTATTTAATTGCACTTGGTCATCGGAATTATCTATTGTGTAAAACTATAACGACTTTATTTCAATTTTTAACTTTACTTTACTAGAAAAAAAATTCTTTGTTAACATTAGAAATATGAACAAAACAAACATTAAAGTTTTTTTTTTATAACACCAGTTTTTGTAACATTCTTTTATAACGCATAAATCATTTTGTTAAAAAAAAGATAATTTGTCATAAGTTGGCTGATAAAAAAAATATTTTTTTTTACGTTTATCTATATATAGTTAGCAGTAAAAGCAGTTTACTGGCAGAACCATTAAGTGTCCTATCAGGCACACTATGATAGCTTAAACGATCTAGTGCTGCTCATTCAGCACTTTTAAAATCATCAAGCAGTTTTAAAGCAATCGCTGTTTTAAAACTATTGAATAAAGGTTATTGAACTACTTCTATTTGCAGAAAGTTACATAAATTTGCTTTCCATTTTAAAAAGAAAACTTTTCAGCGCTTATCACATGAATTGTTTAAAACAGTGACCTCTTTATCTTCATTACATTGCCAGTATAAATCCCATTTAATATTGAACTTTTTTATAAATCCCATTTATTATTGAACTGCATGAAAACTAGAGAATGTAAATTGTAAAAAAAAGTTAGTTGTTGCACCATTTTACAGTGATGAAAATAGTTTCAATAAAGTTGTCAAGTAAGGTGAGTTTGACAAATTTAATTCGATTGAGGATGTTTGCATTGGTGTAAAAACACAAAAAATGAGGTAATATTAATGAAGAGCATGAGCAGCCGTAGCGCAGTGAAAGTGCACTTGCCTCTGACTCAAAGGATCCGTGGTTCAAATTCTACCTTTTCGCAAGTTTTGCGACATCGATTAGGACGGAGGTGTAAACTTCCTATTAAATGCTCATCCGCGGTGCTCATTGATAACCCGGTAAGACCTTCTTTGGGCAACTAACAAAAATAATAATTAAAAAAAGAGCTAATCTTGTTGAAGGATACAGAACTAATAAGCGGCTGAACGGTTTTAGTTGCTGATTTCTATTTGAGAAATAGGTTTCTAACTCTTCCGTTAATTTTAACAGTTTAAGATGTATCAATGTATTTGATTTTGTTGCTGTGGACAACAAATCAAAAAGATTTGTCAAAAAAATCTTATGCTAATTATTCTGCATGTTTGGTATAACGTTTTAAACGTTTCTTGTTTGAGAGATGATTGATCTGAACGAATGTATACAGATTTGAATTCATCTAATGATGCGAGTCGTTTTGCATCAATTAAGAGATCATTGCGGTACTCATTCAAGTCAAACTTAATGAAAATCAATTTATTTGGTTCAGTTGCTATTTTAGTTAAACTAAAGGTATTATTGAATTTTTTTAATGATAAATTGTGAAATGATTAACCACTAAAAAAGCAAAATTATAGTTATGTTTTTCTAGCATACATTGGACTAAATTTTGCCTCTGACTATTTTTAGAAAATTTTGGAAAGGCCGACAACAAAAGCAATTTTAGGTTTTGGATCTACAATTATGGTATTTTTATTGACTGCAGTGATAATAGCTTTATTGGTTTCGAACAACGCTTGACGCTTTTGTTTCTTATTTACATATAAGATCTCCCATATGCCTCTAATATTTTCAAAACTATAATGTTTGCCGATGATACAAATTTATTTTCTCATCAAAGACTATTGAAGACTTATTTAAAAAAACCAATAATGAACTAAAAAAATATAATATATGGCTTAAATCAAACAATAACTCAATATAAATAAATCTAAATATATTATATTCCACTCTACTCAACAAATTAAAAAGCTTCCCCTTAACCTACCGACAATTAATATAGAAAATATAATCATCGAAAGAGCTCAAAATACAAAGTTTTTAGGTGTTCAAATTGATAAACACATCTCTTGGAAGCCCCACATCAACTATATAAATACAAAAATATCAAAGAACATAGGTTTACTTTATAAGGCAAGAGCTTTCTTGACACAAAAAAGTCTAATACTCATTTATTTTTTATTCATACATAGCTATCTTATGTATGCCAATATAGCATGGGGCAGTACTCAGATAACTAAATTAAAACCGCTTTATCTGCGTCAAAAGCACGCCTCAAGACTAGTGTTCAACACAAAAAAAAATTACTCATGCTACTAGAGCAAATGAACGTTTTAAATATTTTTCAAATTAATATTTATCAAAATATACTTTTTATGTTTAAATATAAACTAAGTCTGGTTCCAGAACATTTTACAGCACACTTTTTTGAAAACAACGTAAAAATACAATACAAGAGCAACGGGAAACTTTAAGATACCCTTTGAAAAATTTAAACTCTCAAAATTTTCAATAAAACATCATGGTCCCTATTTATTTAACAAAATAATTTCTAGAAAGGAGTCGCTAATAAATTTAAACAACAAACAGTCCCTGAAAACAAAGTTAAAATCTACAATAATTAAGTTCAACAACTACAAGGAGTTTTTTTAAACTCCAATTTTAAACTTAAAAATAAAAATAATATAAAACAACCCTAATAAAAACAAAAAATGTAACTTTTCAAGGAAACAATAAAAATAATACTAAAAGGAGATAGTAACATTATTAACTTTAAGGCACAAATGTACCACATACATATTTACCACGTATACAACTGATTTTTTTGTGTATTATACGTCTAAAAGGTACTCGATGACAAGGCTGACCCTAGTCTTCTGCGAGCTTCCTATAACTACAAACAATTAATTATTTTCTTCAACCTTATACAAATCTTGTTTTTATCATACTTTTATATATATATATATATATATATATATATATATATATATATATATATATATATATATATATATATATATATATATATATATATATATATATATATTTTTATATATATATATATATATATATATATATATATATATATATATATATATATATATATATATATATATATATATATATATATATATATTATTTTAATTGAGAGAATATAGAAGGTTTATTTCTTGGATAATTTTTATTCTATAGTGTACTTTGTATTTATTTTTATCATGTCTCAAATTTTAATGTAACAATATTTTAGATTTATCTCTTATTTATTTTAGACTTTATGTTTACGACATTTATATTTGTATATCTTTAATTGCCAAACGGTGGTTGGCCAATTGTAAATACTTTGTATTTGTAAAATAAACATGTTAAAAAAACAAAAACAAAAAGAAAAAAAACACTGCTCTTGTCAGCTGGTGTCACACCGTGAGACCCTGAGCTTGGCTCGAGAGAGATTCGCTTTTAAAGTAAAACCATTGTTTTCAAATGCAGATACGCAGGTGAAAAGGATGCTGATTGTGACTATATGTTTCAATATACTAGCATCAAGCTTTAGAGAAGCAGCTAACATAAGCCAGGTTAGTTGGCTGCTAGAGCTGCAAATTGGTTAGTTGAATAAGGTTTGCTCATTATCACAAATGGTTAATTAAGTGTTTAGTCTAATATTCTGTATTTAATGAGAGGGCTACCACTCTGAATAGCAATAGTTAACAACTTTGTCAAGAATTTTTTGAACTTTTTGTTGTTTCTTTTTTCTAAAAACCTT